GCATGGATGAGCTTGGCGACCACACGCTCCAATATCCCATTTGTCATCAAAACTGATGCCTCGGACGCGGCAATCGCTTCTATTTTGCATCAGGAGGGGCGCCCTGTCACGTTCTTTTCTAGAACATTAACTCAAGAAGAGAAACATCATTTGCCAGTTGAGAAAGAAGCGTACGCCGTAGTCGAATCCGTCCGATAATAGAGTCAGCTGCTACTTGACAATCATTTTAAGCTCATCACAGATCAGCGGTTTGTCTCCTTCATCTTCGAAAATCAGCATCATGGAACGGTAAAATCGTACAATAGTAAACGGAACCGACCCCACAGCTTCAAAGTGTTAAGAGCTGGAAAGCAAAATACGGCCATTGACGCACTTATTCCATCCTATTGTGGAGCTCTTATCGTCGGAGTGAACCTCAGGTAAGTTCAAGATTCCTTATGTCACCTTGGGGTGTCTTCCATGATGCATTTCGTAAGAGCTCGCAATTATCCATCCACGACCGAAGAAGCACGAAACGAAACAGTCAACTATCGAATCAGTTTCGAGCTGAAACCTCGGTCCCAGCGCACCATCGAAGGTCATGTCATTAAAACTACACAACCATTCGAAAGACTCTGGATCGACTTCAAGGGTCCATGTTTGACGCGGAATCAGTACCTCTTGACCGTTATTGACGAACACTCGAGGTTCCCTTTTGCGTTTGCTTGTGTGGATCTAACCAGTTGCACCCTAATCAGTTGTTTGTGCCAACTGTTCTTGATCGGAAGGCTTGCTTAAATACATTCAGACAGAGACACTTCCTCTACATCGGAGAAAGTAAGACACTTTGTCCTTGTGAAAGGCGTTGCCATGAGCAGAACTACTCCGCACAACCATCGTGGAAACGGCCAAACTGAACAACTAACCGGGACTTTATGGGACACCATTTTGCCCCCCATGAAATCCAAGAAACTCCCAGTCGATAACTGAAAACAAGTTTTATTGGACGCACTGTACTCTGTTCTGTGCATGGCAACAAATGAAACACATGAAACGCCATAACAGACGTTTAAGTTCCAAAACTTTTCAGTCTACTTGGATCACGATTCCTGGCACAGTCCCGTTGAAAAAGACTGTTAGGACTTCAAATACGATTCACTTGTAGATGAACTTTTACAATGCAACTCATTTTATGTATACATTCGAGTTGGAAAACGCACAGAGGATAATCTGCCCATTCGACGGGTAGCACCAAAGGGTGTACCACGAAGAAAGAAGATAAGTTTACCAGCTTCAAACTTCGAAGCAAACACCAACGAAGAAACTTTGATAAACATCCCATACTGAGATTATTGATGAATTACAGGTGAATTTTCTTGGGGACATTTACAACCCCAGCCTTCAGCTAACCAAAACCTAACCAGCGAGGTAGTGGGGTGGGATGTGAAAACCGCCATCCATTGGGGCTGGTGTCCAGGTGATCGGATCATTCGCCCTTTGGACGAGGTCAAAAGTCGAAGGTGCTCAATACACCTGAATGCCCCATTGAACCAGGAAGAAAAACGCGACCTATATGATTGAGTCCCTTGTCCTCATACCCTCATAATAAGTCCTTTTTTATTACACACCTAAGTGTGTTGAACAGCAGACGGGGCGAACCCCACAGTCACGAGGACCTGCTGTTCAGTGATGGTAACCGGCAACCTAAGCCCCGGGAGTTGGAGAGGTAAAATACATAAGGCCCCGATACGTGTATTGGTTTTACGACTCACTATCTACCCCGGTGTGTAAGGATATGGCAGCGAACCGACAGCAGTGGCTTTCTTATTGTCATTTTTTATCAGGCTAGAATGCTTGGAACGGTATGTATGCAGAGTTCGACGGTGTAATCCGAGTGTTGACCATAGAAGTTCACCTTCTTCCCCCTGTCTCAAAATAGGTATAATTCCTGTCCACCTTGTATGCATTGCGAGTTTGGCAACAATAAGTGAAGTTCGCCTCACTGTACTTCGCTGTACGATGATGATGATGCCCCGGTGTGTGACCACGATCACCTAAAACTCTGCGTATAAACTTACTATTGCCTTTCCGGATGCCTCATCAGATTCGAGTGACGCTGGGGACGTCTCTTGTATCAAACTCCGGAGTACTTTGGGTAACCATCCTGTCCAATGGACAAACCAAAGATGATGTAAAGCGGCGCATAGACACGACCCGAACGACGTTTCAGCAGCCCCGAACCCCCCTAAGGTGCCGTAACGAGATAAGTCTCAAAACCAAGCTCAGGGTGTTTGCCATAGCATTTCGACCAGTCTTACTGTACGGCTGCGAAATCTGGCCGATGAGGACATCCGATGAGGTCTTCGTCCACTGGTGCCGTAGATTCATCCTGAAAGTAAACTGGCGGGACAGTGTCGCAAACTCTGACCTCAGAGATCACTGCCACGTTGCCCGTCTTTCAACGCGCATACAACGCCGCCGACTACAATTATTAGAGGCCTTATATCAGAATTAAAACTACGCATCTATATGGCGTTATTTCACACAAGGACAATAAAGAAGAAGGACGTCTAACGGTCCCGTATCTTACCCTCATTTAGCTCGGCATTCTCCATCTCTCCGACTAATCGTCTTTCTCCACCTCCTTCAACAGAGGGATCTTGTGCGTAACCTTGATTGAGAACAGAGTGAACAATGAAGCACAGAATCACTTACCATAGCTCATGAATGTGCGATGTTGTGTTTCAAATATAAACGGATTGACATGAGCCTCTTCCACTAACCCAGTAAGTGTATTTTTCGGAGCAAGTTGCTTCTCTGATTTGAACGGATTTATTGGACCGAACTAAAAGATTAAAACAGGGACATGATTTCACTCACTGTTGGTGCGTACATTTGTTCATAAGTCGGATTGTGCGACAATTCCCTAGTTCTCGGATCCACTGGTATAAGAGAGAGAAGCTCATCCTAAGAAAAATAATAAAAATTGAGAGGAGACTTACCTTATGTTCAACCGTGGGCGCGACATTAACACTTGGTATCAACTGACTTTGGAGTATTTTTACAGGCGGAGCTTTTATGTCATCTTTTAGACTAGGACTTTCGTCACCCGACGACGATGAGTCGTAAGTTACGAGTGCTGCCATTTTAGAAGACGTGGTGCAATCCAAATTATCCGATCTGGCAAAACCCAATCGATTGCGGTGGGACAAATTGTCTCACAAGAAGTGAACGGAAAGACCAACAGCAATCTATTCCTAGTCTAATTTTGCCTTTCCTGAAAATAAGAGAAAATCGGAGTTTTTGATGTGAATGACCTACTCATGACGTGTATCAAAATAAAGATATTTTAAGCAAAATTAAAACCCTTCCGGGTAAGTGGTTCCCCGGATCCATGTGAATTAGCACAATTATCGGTTCGAGGATAAGCAGGAACCTCGCAGTCACCGTACTGAAGAGGCTCTTTGCCTATTTGCATAGAAGAACCAGAATACTGGCCACCTTGCCACCTTGCCACCGATCATAGATTAAGGTACGCTGAAGAAGGGTCCAGGTGAGCAGGTCGAGATTTGCCAGGCACTATGCATCGGTGTATGAGGCAGAGGAATTGATTCCAGAAAGTCCTCACATTCACGATCCTCACTCTCCCCTATTGGCCGTCTCGGAGTTCAACCCTCGTGAAGTGCAGGCCGCAGTGGAGAAACTGAATACCAATCAATCTCCGGGCCCAGGCGGAAAACATCCCCTCCTCTCTGCTTTGTTTAAGTTCTCTAAAACATGGTCGGCTTCTCGAGGATGGGAAGGTGGAACTAATATCGCCCCTGATTAAGAGCGGTTCGACAGCAGACCCAGCGAATTACCGTCCCCTCAGTTTGATATGCATTTCCTGTAAAGTAATAGAACGCTTGGTTTCTAGCAGACAGCATCGCCATCTGACGGATTATCAGCATGGTTTTCTCCCGAAGAGATTCTATCTATCAAACCTTCTTCTGACCAGGGAAGAAAGGCGTGCCGCAAAAGCCAGTGGGTTTGTTACGGATAGTATTTGAGTCAACGTCAGTAAAGCCTTCGACAAGGTCCCACAGGAAAGCCTACTCTTGAAGTTGCGAAAATTTCGAGTAAAGAATCCACTACTCACTTCGGTGGAGGATTTTTGGAAAGGAAGACGTTTTACGGACAGGAGTCGTGATTCTATATCAACCAGGCAGTAGGTTCTCAGCGCAGTCCCTCAAGGATCAATTCTGGGCCCCGTTTTGCTACATCTATATATGAACGATCTTCCTAGCCAGCGACAGTCACCATGCCTCGTCTACTAAGACGAGATGGAGGTCACTCCAATCGTCAGGAGACGTGGAAGTTTTACAAGGTGATTTAGATCGGCTATCCCAGTGGGCGCTTCCCACCAACGTCGGAAAGTGTGTACACAAGAGATTAGGTAGCAGTGAACTCAGATCGACGTACACAACAAAGGACGTTCTTCTCAGGAACAGTGACCGTGGAGGGACTTAAAAGCGATCATTTCTTCGTCCCTCAAGATCAACGGCCACACTGAAAAGGTCTGTTCTTCTGCCTGGAGTATTTTGAGAGCTATTCGTCGATCGTTCGGACCGTTGTCGAGACAGGCTTTCAAAGTTCTGTACAACACGGCGACTGGCCCTCGTCTGGAGTATGGTGGTGCGGCAGCGGTTCCGACAACCCGTGGAGATGTCGAAAATCGAGCGTGTCTAGACAGTGGCCAACCGTCTGGTTGCAGGCCTACGTGCATACCGTTACGGCCAGCAACTCGTCACTACGGACCTCTATATTAAGAACTACAGAAGAATTCGTGGTGACATTCTGATAACCAGAAAAAGCATTCGGGGTGACCTGGGGGAGGAGCTGCAGTAAAAGTTTCCATTGAGCAACAATGCACGTACGCATGGTCACCGTTACACGCCTCGGAAGCAGGAATCATCCAGACTTCGGTCAGTGCATCGTTTCACCAGGAGTGACCAACATTTGGAATGCACTCTCTCACTGTATCTTGCTGTACAATTATGATGTTCTCCCGGCGATTGTGGTGAAAGAAGTGAATGGGGACAGTTTTAAACGGCGTCTAGACGATTGAATGATGAAAGTGAAGCAAGTTGGTGGGAAGCTTTTTCAGAACCGAAGGAAAGAAGACTTATACGGGAGCAGTCCAAACTGCCTGTAAATGCATGTCGAGGTGAAAGTTTCCATAAACAGAAAACTAGCAGCCCATGTCACTGCACGTATTAGGGTCGGACCGGTAAGTCGTTGCGAATGTTCTCTGCACAAGTGAGAATGAGTATTCACAAGATAAAAATAAAAGTTCCATCAGGGAATAAAACCCTAAAATTTATTAATGGAAAACTGCAAAACAGGTAGTACAACACTAAATGGACGCGTGAAAACGAACAAAACACCCTAGGTTAAGAACATACCAGTCGGAGAGAAAAATTCTCCCAATAAAAAGAAAATGAACCTTAGTGAACACTACGGTTTGCTTAATGTTCTGATGAGGCTCACACGGGGCGCGGCCCCTCTGCCCTCTACACATGAAGATGGACTGAAGTTATGCCACTACTCAACGCAAACAATCGGAAGTCATATAGCATATTAAAAGTTCTATGGAATTTCTGTGACGAGATTAGCGGTGCGTCCAAACTTCTTCAGCAACAGAGTAGTCAACTGATGAAATAATTTACCACAGGAGCTGGTGGAGCTAGGGAGCGTACATGCTTTCAAGAAGGAGCTCGATAAGCGCTGGTTGAACTTATTTCCCGAAGTAGACGCATAGGTTAAGGTCTGGAAACAGTGGTGGGTTTTTTCAGTTACTGACCACCCCAACAGGAGAACGCTTCCAAATGTGAGGTCTCTCGCCTGAACAAGGGGAGATATTTTTCTCCTTTGCAGAAGCCGAGACGACTTGGGCGAGAATGGAAACGTGTGAAACTACAAAACAGAACACTCGCAGTGGTGGGGGCCAACCCATGGATAACTACCAAAGGAACTCTGGACGCTCGATTGGCCGTGGCAATCTCCTGTCCTGACTGACTGACTCGATTTATTTGCGTGGTTATAACCACACCGTCCTTCGTCGCCCGGAAAGCCCCGTGTCGTTTTCAGCAAAGAGAGCACGAACCGAGGGACATCCTGTTGCGCATCTCTGTCCTCTACGCTGTGCTACGAGAGTCTGAAGTACACTTGCACTATACGACAGTATCTTTCTAGTCTACCCCCATTTTTTCCTAAAAATGAGACAAAATAGGAATATTTGATGCCTGAGTAGTATATTTAAAATAATCGGGAGAAAAACAAGTAATTTTTGTGGAAAATTTCAAGTCGATGCGGGGTACTTAGAAATATACTTTTGGTTTGCATGAACGAACTTATACAAGGTATATGAGCAGTTGCAACGTACGTTCATCCCAGTACATCGAGCGGTGAACGGCGTGTTGGACGTCACGCTGGATTGTGATGCGGCCCTAATAGAATGAATCCAATTCTCGTGTATTTTGTCAAGATAATGCAGACATTTATAGCCATGCTATAAATAGCTAGGTTGAATTGAACCTAACGATTGTCCACGCATCAGAAAATGGTGCATTGATGGCATATTTCGCGGTCTTATGCAGAATTGGACTGCAGTACATGCCCACTGGCGACGACAGACTGAACGGCATGTTCATTCCTTAGGTTCCCTTTGTGATTATAAAATTTTATGATTGTACCGTAATCTTAACACAAGCGACTGAAGTTACATTGTAGTACTTCTGGAAAACAACACAGATCTGGGTCCGTTTTGATCACTCGAGTTGATGTATGCATGCAGACTCATGCGAGGCGACCTTATAGAGACATTTAAGATTGTCAAAGGGCTTTCGGGTCTAAGGTTCCAAAACGTATTCTCTTTTGTTCCTGCCCGGGGCACGAGGGGCCATCAACTCAGATTGGAAAGAAGTCATTGTCGACTAAATTTGTGAGCTAGGTTCTTCACAAACAGAGTTATACCACTGTGGAATAAACTACCTGAAGCAGTGGTTACCTGTATTAATGTCGAATCTTTCAAGAGAAGGCTAGATGAATGCTGGGCAGTGGTATTCCCTGAAGTTGAGTATTGAAAGTTAATCGTTAGGCTTTACTTTCCGAAATACTATAAGGGATCTGATATTGCACACTAACATTCTGCCTTCCAGAAACTACTATTGACTCGAA